AAAATCCAGCATTGCAACCCCCGGAGGAGGTTGTCAGAGCTCAAAACCTCCAAGGGGTGCGCCTCCTAAATCAGGAAGGTAAAACATGAATTTGGCTTAATATTTTTCCCATTCAAGCTTTTTTCCTCACATTTTCCAAATCATCAAATGTAGCCTAAGAAATAGAATTCTTCACTTTGAAATGAATTACCAGCCAGTAGGAAACAGACCACATGGCCCAGTCAAATCAGGATCATTTAAGGAGAGTATCAAACAGGGACTCTTCACCAACATGGAGTAGGCTGAGAGGAACCCCAACTGGTAATGATAGTAGGAGTCTCTTTCCACCCCAAGACCAGAGGAGTCAAGGAAACAAAAACCCAGACATGGAAAGACCTGGACAGGCAGCATGGAGAGGAGCCAGGACCTTCGGTAAAGGACAGATCCAGGCTCCTGTGATTCCACAGCCTACTGCAGCCAGTGCTTTACCAGTGTGCTCCATTGGTCTGTCCCAACAGGAAGCCCAGTGCAGGGGAACCTACTGCTGGAGACCATTGCACGAAGCTTTGCAGGGCAAGAGCCACTGGGGGAAAAGTAGAAGAAAATGAAAGATTCCCAGCACCGTTGGCAAGAGGAAATTTGGCTTCTTATGAAAAGGGGAATTTGTGTTACATAGCTTGTTTGGGTTTTTTCCTTCCTTTGGAAAGGACATTATTTGAAGACTAGAATTGTAGGAGAAATCACTGAGTGCACATGGAGGTGAATCTCCAATTTTGTTCTAATCTGCTGAGGTCATCTAAAGTGGCTCCTCGTGGTACAATGAAGAATCAATACTTGGGTGTGGACTGGAAGTTGCCATTGATTTCAGAGAATGCCATCTTCTGGTGCATTATCTTAGAGTTAATGCTTCTCACATCAAGGGTTGGAACAAGCCTCAAATCTCCCTGCAAGCCTTTCTGCACCAGTGTTAATTATTCAGACATTTTACCCTTTCATAGTGGAAAGAGTGAGTGCTTCTCAGTCTGATTTCAGTGTCTTCAGGAGTCTGTCCATCCCTCGCGCCCCTCAGCCAGGAAGCAGATACAGATTTGTGTTGTATCAGAGACATGTAACTAAAGGTTTTCCTTAGCTCTTATCTTTGGACTTCATAATAATGCTCTTTGGCCTCTGTTTTAATTTTTTCATAATAGTATTAACAGTGTGTCTCCAAAGTCTGACAAAGTTTAAAGAATGAGAATCTAGTATCAGGCTATTTTTTTCCCATCCTACTTAGAGCCATAGAGACATAGAGACGTTAGAAATCAAACTTGCCCCCAGGATTGCCTTTCTATCTGTGGACCCCAGAAGCCCAACATGAAACGTGGATATAGGTACTCTGCCAGGTCACAAAGGAGTGGCCAGTAAAAAACGACAGGCCCTGAAAAAGGGACCTATATCATTTACCTTTGCATAATATTGCCCTCCCTTAGTGCTGGCATTATTTACTGTCCCTGTACACATTTTATCAAGCACCCAGTGATTTGGACTTAACCTCTCAGGTTAACTATCTCTAGAAGAGCAGAAGTAGGAATGCTATTTTCTTTTCTTTTCTTTTTTTGAGAGAGAAAGAGAGAAGTTTTTAATATTTATTTCTTAGTTTTCGGTGGACACAACATCTTTGTTTGTGGTGCTGAGGATCGAACCTGGGCCGCACGCATGCCAGGCGAGCGCGCTACAGCTTGAGCCACATCCCCAGCCCCCTATTTTCATTTCTATGGAAAGGGAAAAAAGTAAAAGAAAAGTCTCCCTAATCTGTTTCTATCACTTCCTCTATGACATGGACACACACACACACACATACACAAACACACCCACACACACTATTTAATTTTCATTGGCATAAAGTTAAGACAAAAGAAGATTCAGTTGTTTAAAATTTGTTTGACCTTCTTATAAGTACCCAGATTCTTTACATTCCTCAACCATCCTCATTAAGTGTGACTTGTTGATGATGTTGGAGGCCCTCCGTAAGGGACTGTTACCCAGAATATACAGATGTTTCTCCAAACATGTTGCTCAGCGATGGAAGTGCTGCACTGACCCTGAATGTAAGCTCCTGTCAATAACTCATACCCTGTGTGTTCCTGGCCTTCAGTCTGCACCTACCTGTCCAGAAAGGCTATTGAAACACCTCCTCAATACCCTGAGCACATTTTGTCCCATGTCCCCATGTTCTTAGACCATATTAGCTAGCAGGTGTTTTAGGGTAATACTGAATTGATTTTACTTCACCTACAGGTGATTGACTAAACTTCATAAAGGCCTCCCAGAGACACTAACAAAAGGGAGTATTGGCATTTTAAGAGCAGTTCTGCCTTCTGGCTCCCTTCAAATCACATGCCACAGATGTGGCTATACTTGGAAGTTCTACTTTGTTTTTCATATATTCTCTCTTTCAAGGCTTATGTAATCTCCTAACAGGAAACTGATACTTGAAAATGACAAATGATTAATCCAAATGTTCATTAGAGCCAATAGTAAGATGATATGGGGAATATAGTCTTTGTTACTGTGAGGGTTCATTTTGAAATATAGGGAAAATGGAGTGTGTGTGTTTGTGTGTGTGTGTGTGTGTGCGCACACGTGTGTGGCGGGAGCAGGGGAATAGAAACTAAGGGACAAGTGGATGGTAAGGGCAGCAGGGCCCACCTACCGCAGTAATAGTGACAGTTGCCCTCACACTGGGCTGAGTTACTACTAGGCATAATATGTCATGACCAATAGCATCATGAAACCACAAAGGGCCTTTCAGTACTGCCAAGGACACTGCAGTATGTCACCTCCCTGTTTAGATACAAAGAATGTTCTAAGATGTTATTATATATCCAAATGTATCCTTAGTCATTTCTAGAGATTTTAAGAAGAATCTAAATTTGAAGTATGGGCTTCCCTGAATGAGAAACAATGAATTTGAAGACCGTTCAAGGTATTTAAGTAGATAGAGAGGTCAGGGTGCTATTCCTTCTTAATTCATTCATCAATACTATGGACTTTTGTATCAGGATGGGCCACGTTATGTTAAGCACAATGCCAAAATCTCAGTGGTCTGTAGTGATGAGGATTTGCATCTTGCTCTCGTATCCATCATGGGTCAGCACAGCACTCTGCTCTGCATCATTTTCATTGAATGATCTGGGCTGATGGAGCAGCCATTCTTCAGGGAGTTGCTGGTCCCTGTGATGGAGGGAAAGAGCTGTCTAGCATCTTGCATGGACAACTGACTGCTCTGGCCCAGAAGTGGTACCCTTCACTTCCCCATGAATCTAACTGTAAAGAGTATACTCCTCACAGCACAACAAAACCAGGGCATGCAGAGAAGTGAAATCCTGACATGTGCCCTGGGAGCAAAGAGCCAGAAATATTTGCAAGCAGCATTGGTTATGCCCCCACTGCCTGTGCCAGGCTTCCTGCAAGGCTCAGGTTTATCATCTCTCCCCTTGTGGCCCATACTCCCACACTGAAGAGTCAGATGCTTAGAGGGCAATTTCAATAATGTTTAATGGAGTCTATGATAAAGAGTATGTGAAAGCATACAGGAAGAGAACCCTCAAAAGTTCTTCAACAAGGCTGGGTGCAGTGGTGCATGCCTGTAATTCCAGCAGCTCTGGAAACTGAGGCAGAAGGATGGTAAGTTTGAGACCAGCCTCAGCAACTTAGCGAAATCCTGTCTCAAAATAAAAAAATAAAAATAAAAAGGTCTAGGGATCTGGCTCAGTGGTAAAACACCACCCCTGGATTCAGTTACAAAAAAAAAAAAAATTCTTCAACAGTAGAGCTTGTAGAAGTTATGCTACCTAAGGAATTCATGAGATAAAGACAAGGGTGGTGGTCGGGGTTCCTTGGTGAAGATGCAGTATGTGCAAAGGCCCACATGGGCCTCTAAAAGGCTCTTGTAAGAAATGAACTTGCTTTTTGTCCTCGTTAGTTATTTGTTTAGTATGTTACTTGTGTTATTCTAAATGTGTTCAACTATACTTTTAATTTGCCTTTACTTAATGATGATTGTGGTCCATCAAAAGAAAAGCAAGGGGCTGGGGTTGTGGCTCAGTGGTGGAGCATTTGCCTAGCTTTTTCCTAGCATGTGCTAGGCACTGGGTTCAATTCTCAGCAACATATTAAAAAAAAAATAAAGATATTGTAAAAAGAAAATGCAAATAAGTCACAGTAAATGTTTCATTCTGACCACTCAGTGCAGAAAAGGAAGCAGGAGGATAGAAGGAGAAGGAGGAGCCCAGGTTTAAAGACAGGCTGTGCACCCCGGCAGTATCAGGCAGTAGCTCTGCTCTTTCTAGCTGGTAGAATGAGCAAGAATGTTTCACTCACTGACCTCTGTTATATTGGCAGACTTCTTACCCTCTCTCATTCGATGGTATGAGTTTTGCTTTGAAAACAGTTGGCTTGGTGACTTAACTTGGAAAGCCAAACTGCTCCATGAACAGATCCTGTGGACTGGGCTAACAGCTCAATTATGTGGTTTTCTTCTGTAAGGATAATATAACAAGTGCTATCACTTAACTAAATGCATATTATATACCACAGATGGTGCTCAAAGCTTTTCACATACTGTAGTTTTTGTCTTCGGTATTCTAATGTTGGATAACCATTTAGTCAGGGAATTATTCTTTATAGCAACAAATCTACAGGGTGGGTATTGTGGGGTTCCCTTCTCCGCCATTTTTTGCAAATAAGACAACTGGTGCTCAGAGAATGTCAATAAAATAAATTCGACAAAGCCCTAAACTGAGTTCCTCTCTGAGTGCTAGAGTGGGAGATGGGAGATTTTATTCTCTCAGAATAGATCTGGGTACAGTATCGACTGCAAATGTTAAGAATTGTTGCCATAGTAGTGATATGAAACTTGGGATATACAAAAAGCTTTATTTTCTATGCTAATATACTAGACCTGGAATAATGGTCAATACTGGGGCATAGTGGTATATTCTCTGATCATTGTTTGGTTTTCCTTTTTGACTTTACTCTAGAGTTCTGCCTGACCAATGGTATCATCCACATCCACAGGGAAGAACTCAGCTCCCAATATGCCTGTTGCTCTTGCAGAAACCACAGAACCCTGGGAAGACATGCTTTCTTACCCCTGAAGCCCAATTTTCTGGGGGGCATCAGGCATAAAAAACATCTGATGACATTCCTCCCATCTCAGATCTCTTCTGCTAAAAACGGTCAGTTATACTTATTGCTAATACATTCACTTAACAATTAAACAAATACTGGTTTGGTTGATGGAATATCTGTTTTTTTCCCATCAAAATATATATATTTTTTTAAAATAATCTAAATTATGAATTAATTTTCTGCTTAAGTCATTACAGATATCCTCCTGAAGGTTTCATTTGGGGTGAAAGAAGAAAGATACTTTTGGACCTCAGGGTTAAACTGTTTCCTCTTCTGCTCTTCCCAGTCACCGTCTACCAGGGACAAGGCATGGGTGGTTGGTGGCAGTCGGCATTTATAATACTTTAATGGCTTAAAGGAAAACAAAATAAGAAAAATAAAAATTGATTTTAATTGAAAAACAAGAAGACAAAAAGGAAACTTCTGATAAGAAGGAATTCTTTTAGAAAATACAACAGGAAAAAAGTGGTTCAAGGAAGCAGATGATAAGAAGCACTCAGGAGGGCTGTCCTTGATGTCTAAAAGATAAGAGTCCAGAGCGGGTAGTGAACATGGCTAGGATACTCATCCATTTCATCTTCCCGCTCACTCGAAAGCCTGACCCAGAGACATTGTACCTTATATTACATACCCTTGTTTTTTAAGTCCATCTCTGCAGACTGTGCATCAGTTAATTCAATCAATTATGGATCAAAAAATATTTGGAAAAAGTGCATCTATACTGAGCATATACAGATAACTTTTCTTGTCATTATTCCTTAGACAATACAGTATAACAAATATTTACATAGTATTAGATATTATAAGTAATCTAGAAATGATTTGATGTGTATTGGAGGATGAGTGTCAGTTAAATGCAAATACTTCATGTTATATAAGGGACCTGAGCATCCTTGGATTTTGTTATCCATGGGGGTCCCAGAACCAATCTCTAGTGGATACCAATGGTTGACTATATATATTTATACTGCCTTCTTCTTCAGAGATCAGCTATTATCTACTAAACCTCAAAATATGAGGGATGCTTAGAAGGAGATAGATTGGCTTCCCATTTTACTAAGACTCAGCCCAGAGGAGTCAAAGACTGGGAGATAGATGTCATTTGCTTGACATTTCGTCTTCTTCCTGTTTCCTCATCTGTTGTGGAGAAAATCTCTTTGGATTATTTTGCTGTAGTCCTTCTCCTGACCATGATTTCCCTCAGAGCATGTCTTTCCCAACATCTTTAAATTCATCTTCAAATGAAAATCTTCCTTTCAGAAGTCCTTCATGGCCAACTTCATCTCCTAATTCTAAAACTTTTCCTAACTCTCCCCAGACCCTCTCCCAGTAGCATGTAATTTTTCCCCTGCTCTTTTCCTTTAGGCTTTCCTCTCCTGTAGCCTTCATCCCACTGAGTTGTGCTTGCTTCTGTACACTCTCTCCTCCCTATTCAATCAAGGGTCTCGTTTGTCTTGGCATCCTCAGGGCACAATGCCTGGCACATAGTAAGCATGATAAAACTTAGTCCAATGAGTAAACAAACATAGATTAGGTTACTAAACCTATTTAATGTATTTAATGAGCACCTACTCCATAACAAGGTACTTCCTCTCAATAGTTTATTATACGATCCACCCTAGATACCTCATCAGCCAATCTAAATTATTTTTAATTATATCTTACGATTTTTCCATGTACTGAGATGATAAATTTACTGAAGCATTTTCTTTCTTTTTTTAAGTCAAACTTTTATGATTTATTGTAAACTTTAACATTCAGATACCCTTTGAGCCTCTTGAGTACTTTCTATTATTTATTTACTTATTTATTTATTTTAATGCATTTTGACTCATTATACACAAAGGCAGCACAACTTTCATTTCTCTGGTTGTATACAATGTAGCACCGCACCATATGTACACTCATGTATGTACTTGGGTGATGATGTCCAGCTCATCCCACCATCTTTCCTGCTCCCATGCCCCTTCCCCTCCCTTCCCCTTTGTCCAATCAAAGATTGAAGAATTCTTTTCCTATTTAAGTCTCCATATCTCGTTTTGTACTCTACAGATACAGGAAAAACTACTTGAATGGGGCCTTTTTGAAGGGAACAAGAAATATTAAAAATCTTCCATTTGACCTTGCTCTTGACCCCACACTTGGATTCTGTCATTAGCTCCAATTGAGGCTAGACCGACATTAGAGATATACTAAAAACTCTGAAATTTAAAATTGAAACTGAAACATCATCCAACTTTAAACCTGGCTCATGCTTCCTCTGGTCTATATGTTTCCATTTCTCATAGTTTTTCGTCACTGTGTCTCTCTGAGACCTCGGCCATACTACATGATCTGAAGATTGCTGTCATTGCTGGTAAGGTCTATTAAATGGTACACTACGGGAGTGAGTTTGATGTGGCATTTTCTCCTGTAAAACAGAAGAGCCTTGATGACAAGCACCTTTTCTCTTCTCCAGCTGTCTCCTCACTGTTTAAGTCCAGAAAATAACAGGTTTGTAATGTTGTTGACCCTGCCATGTAAAAGGTGAGAGGAAAGTCAGGGATCCGGTAAATGTCAGAAGCAGAAGAAGGAAGATTTCAGAGGCAGAATGAAGGGGCGGGTAATGCTGGCTTGGTGGTCAGTGTAGAACCCCTTGACCTTGTGCAGGACTCTACTTTACCGTGTGCTTCTTGCACATGAAGTCGTCTTACACAGACTCCATCCTGTAAGTCATTCTTGATTGATAGGTGAAGACTCGGTCTGCACTTAGCAAAGCTGGTTCTGAAATCAGTCATGTGGCTTGAAACTCCCTCTTCTACTGGCTTCTGCCCACCTACCAAAAAAACAAACAAGCAATTTCCTCTCTAACATACTCCTGCAATAGGAACTTACATCAACGGCTTCTTTGAGTTTTCTCTGAGCTCCAGACCTGAACAAACAGTACAGTCACCAACTGGACCATCATCTGAATCACCCATGAGAAAACACTCTCTCTTTTGTCTTCTCCATGGAGAGTCCTTACTTGCTGATTTCTAGTGATGGCAGAGACGTGTCATCTGGAAAACTCAGTATCCCCACTCTCCATACCCCGTCTCTAGAATCCATAAGCAGATCCTTTGGATTTGCCTCCTCATTGCTTCTCAAATCTGACCACGCCTTCTCTACCACCATGAGTTGTCCAGGCTACCCTGGTGTCCTCCCAACAGAGTGACATTTATCTCTTCACTAGGCTACCTGTCTCCTTTCTAGTCCCTCTTCCATTCTACTCTCTACTCTGCAAGCAGAATGATCTTCAAAATTGTAAATCTGAGCTGACAACCCCTTCAAATATTTGAATGGCTTCTCACTGCTTATACAAGTAAGACAAATCACTATGAAGCCTATAGTAACTGCCACCTATCCCCTCTGTTGTCCTCTGCATGAGTCATAGGGTCTTTCCTTTAGTCCCTGGAATATACAATGCATGTTCTCTAGTCCAGGATCTTTGCCCATGCAGTGCCCTCTGCTCAGAATGTTCTCACCACTATCTCTACCTGGCTACCACTTGTTTTTAATCAAATCCATCCTCTGTAGTGTTTGTCACAGTTGCAGCTTACAGGGTCATTGAATCCATAAGCCATGAGCAGTGTCTATTTCTGCTCTCCCCAGCACAGGTCCTGATAAACAGTAGATGCTGATTGAATGAATGGACAAAATGATTATAGACTTATGCATGTTAAAGCAGATGTTGTTTTAGACTTCAAGAGCTCTGTGGATTCAGAAAAAAATAGAAAGTTAAAATAAACATACCTGAGTATCTGTTGACAAAGTCCACTACATTGAGTACAATATTATTAATCAATAAATTCATGGAGTACCTGCTATGGAAAATGCTAGATATTATAACCTCACTCATTAGAGAGAAATCTATTTTCTCACCAGTGACTCCAAAATGGAATGGCCCAAAGTGCTGAGAACAATCAACTCATTTCTTCTTTTTGACATTAGCAGTATTCTGGAAAGTGCATACCCTTGCGTGGAGAATTAACACTTGCCTAACAGAGCTGAGAAGCATTTGATTTGAATATATCTAGTAATGTATAATTTTTGCTTCTTACAATGTTTTATTATAAAATTATTTGCTTCTTGTAATATTTTATTGCAATTTCATTAATTAAATTGCAATTCAACAGAGAGATGCACAGAAATGAAATTTCTCTTCAATTATTCACCCCCCATGCCTTGTTCTAAGTAGAGCACCAAAATGACTGCTTTAATTTGTGCTGAGAACATGCTTTGCATGAAGTGTTTATTTGAACTCAAACGTTTAAAATAGGGTGACACTAGAACTGAAGAAAATATTCATATTCATCCCCAAACCAACCATGTTTTCCCAAATGAGTTTATCATCCTCACTTCTTCAATGTGCAATATAAAAAGTCACCTATCTACAAACCTCAGGCTATGCACCCCCTCACAGGAAGTGATTGTCATTATGGTTTTCCTGGAGCCCAGAACCCTGCAGTACCCTGTACTCCAACTCCTGGAAAACGCAAAGTGCCCTTCTGCTCTCTTGATAGATGACTCTGCTTCCTGGTGTCAGTTGCTTCTCTACCTAGTAGTTAGTACCTGGCCACAGACACTGGACAAGATCATTTTCTCAGTCTCACAATGTAGATGTCCAAACTAAAAAAGGCCCAGAATTATGGTCATGTTTTCCATTTCAAAATCATTTGAATAAGTACTCTTTTGGAGAACTAAGAAGTGGTAGAGTTTCCCAAGCCCACTAAGACAACCAATTATGGAACATTCTGGACCAGATTTCTTTCTTAGTTATCTGAAGAGGCCAACAGGCTTAACCTTAGCGAGTTGAGCAAAGTCCTCTGTGGGCACACATTTCTACCATGAGCACGTCCTTTATGGATTTTCACAAGTGGATGAGGAGGACCTCCTCTTGTGCCTGGGAAGTAATTCTCCTTTCATCCTTCCTTCATTCTGATTCTCTGATTCTCGGTGCCTTTCCCCTGTAAGTCAGAGCTTCTCATTTTCTGCTCCCTGTTAGCTACTTGCTCTGCTTTCTTGTTAC